AGAGAGAGAGAGAGCGCAAGACGCCTACCGACTTAAAACATTGCCATACCCATGTTTGATGTGCTGTGTGCGCCTGCTACAAGAACACTCCGTGGTCCAATGTCCCAAAGTAGGCTGAGATAAACAACACTGATGTAACCTGGCATTCGCTGCTAATGCTCCACAACAAAGGCATTTATAAGATATTTATTTGGTGTTTATTCTGAAACCATCCAGGCTTCACTTTCCTTTCCTTGGCACTATTACCTTTGGCACCACATTGATATAATAGGTGATGCTGTAGGCCAGAGTTAAAAGAAATGCAATGGGTAGTGTTTTCAGAGCAGAGTTGCATAATGTTGTTGGTGGTCTCCACTAGGCACAGTTATGAAATTACCCTACAGCCCACAGCCATGTACGTGGTACCAGAGAGCCAACGTGACATTGGAATTTAACTGAGAGTGGGAAGAAAACATCCGTGCTCATCTTAATCTGACAATATAGAAGTGTTTGGATCTGTATACTGTGCCTGTTATTTTACATCACCACATTTATAAAAGCTACTTCTAATGCTAGTGATCACTATTCTAGAGCTGAAGCAATTAATCATTGATTAAGAGATTACAGAAAAATTAATTAGTAACTTTATTCTGCAAGAAAAGTATTATAAATGTAAATTAAATATCTTTGGGTTTTGAACTAAAGATGTTGACTTGGGATTTAGGAAATGATGATCGGCATTTCACACAATTTCACAATTTTCTGATTTTTATAGCCTTTCAAAATAATAATTAGTTCCAGCCTTGCACAATTAAATACTTTCCCTTCTGTATCTTGGAGCTCTATCATCCCTTAAACTGTTAAAGATCCATCATCTTGCTTACAAGCACTTCAACTAGGGCAATGCTTGAAGCCGAAGGGATCGCCTTTGCAGGACAGCGTCTCTGCTTGGTACACCAATACGAGGCCCAAATGTATGTATGTCAGTTTCATTGCTTATTCATGTTTCATAAACCCACAATCATTTGTTGTGCCCAAATAACTTGTGTTTGAAAGTACTGCTTGTGGTTTAAATAACAGAAGTGACAGCCAATTGTGTCACAGCCTGCTTATTCCAAATAACACAAACAGCATCTAAGCCAACAATTCAAACAATTTTGGATTAAGATCAATGGATTCAGCATCTAGCCCTACAGTCTTTTGTTGCTGCTGAGCATTTATCACATCTCTTGCCCATCAAAAAGCTCTTCACAGACAGTAATGGGGTGAGCTCATGCACAAGAGCAGTGGATGACTTTTAGAGTGGAAAATCAACATCTGCTGTTAAACTGCATTTGCACGCACAATGCAGAGATTTTTCAGAGTTTCTAAAGTACACAACAAGCCTGGATTTGGCATTTGGTGAACCCAGCGGTTCAGCTCATCCATCCTCTCCTACAGTCTGTCCCAGTATCGATTATCTGACAAGAGAAAAGCACTACATCCTCCTGGTTCCTTCCTGCTGCCTCACCTCTTTCCAACAAGCAGCAATCTGCCACAACATACATCACATCCCTTTTAAACCCAGATAAGGAAACCTCTTAATAAGATTACTGTGGTCTTTCAGCGTTATTATTCTTGTCAATGTACTTAATCAGTACCTCTACAAACAAACAGAGCCCAAAAATATTACTTGCATCAAACAAGAAAAGAGTGTAAAACCCTCTGTCTTTTAAGGAATATCAATTTTCAGGGAATAATGAACTCAACTGCATTTGTCTTTACTATCTGTGCATGTGTTTTAACAGTTCAGCTTGGCTGTGTTGTAGTGGAGGTAGATTGCCATCTAGTGGGAAAGTCTGGCAACACATGACTTTAATGCACTCCACATAAATATTTTAATACATCATTGGAACAAGTGGATACATTAAGCAGTTTATTTCCTGTTAAGTGTTGCCTACATAACAATACAACTGAATCACCACTAAAAAAGGGCTTTACTTTAAACAACAAACAAACATCTCTTTTCTAAGGCATGTGAGGAAAGTGCACTATTGTCTGTAGTTTGGATTTATGGCACTTATTTTATAGTTCTTTTCGGTCCCTTTTTATGCATATATTTTACAAAGGAAAAATAATCAAATATGCAAGGAAACCAAATGAGGAATGGTCTATGTCCATGTTGTCCTTTATCCAGATCGAGATATGATAACATTCTTGTTGTTTACAGTGAAGGTGATTCACTTCCTCCATATTCCTCGTCACACCCCTTACTATGTCCATAGCACACTGGGAAGATCCATTTTTACCAGTTGTTAGTTATTGCTTTTTCACAGCTAACCAGTAGAATTTCATAGAGATATACAGGTCACTTCCTAACACAACGTCCTATGTTATCAATACACAAATAAAGATAAACTATCTTGCTGTCCTCAGGAGTCTAAAGATATATTGTGCAAGAATATGGTAATCTGTTCACACAGATTCTGAACAGAAGATGTGAGAATGATCAGTATCATTTTAAATGTGAGGTGTGATGAGAAAACAAATACAAATCTTTTGAATTTTCATGAAGTTGCTCCATTTCCTGGAATTTGTATATGTATTTTAGATATTTTAGAACAAAGAAATAACAGAGTGCTTACCATAGAACGTTCCACTTACTACCTTCTGGCGAGGAGCTAGTAGAGACAGAGTTGGATTTTAGTTGTATTAGAGCTCCGCTGGGCTTCTGTTACAGAATGCAAACATTGTAAGGAATGATGGTTCAGTAGTTTGAAACATCAGCAACCAAACTTCCTGGCTGCAATCAAGTGCAGTTTGCATGTGTGCACTAAAGATATGCACCTAACTTGCATATCTTTGGTGCACACATGCAGCAGTTACAGTGACACCTTAACTCCTTTGTTGGTATGTCTGTTTGCCTGTGTTAGGTTGATTTATAGTGTGTGCAGACAGACTCCCATGACCCTCTTAAACTGGATTTAAGTGGGTAAGTAAATATAGCAAAAATCCCATAAATCAGCTCAAACCCCCTAAATGATGGACAAACATCCCATCCACCTGTCTTGGCACAAGGACAGCGGCACGTTTTATGGATGCCACTATGCTTCCTCTTTCTCCTTCTCATTCCCCCTCACTTCAAAAGCACAGGAGTGGGGTGACAGGCCAGGGGAGGGGAGCCCCATTGTTAATTGGCCTTTTCAGCTGAACAGAGAGGTGAAGGGAAGGAGAAGAGAGGAGCACAATAGGGTCCCATTGCCTCTCCAGAACAAGAGGGATGCACCGCCTTAAAAGATAGACCAGTCAGAGCACATATAGACCTGCAGGGCTCTCTTCAGACAACTCCAAACTGAGTGAATGAGGCAATCAATCATGTAGCCTGCAGCTCACTGCGAACAAATGGCCTGTAGCCTTGATAAAGACTGCAGAATTTTTTAAAGATTCTCTGTCCTGATGCTAGAGTGGCTCGGTATGCTTTAGGGGCAGCACAGTGCACAAGCATGAGGTGTTACTTACCAGACAAACAGTTTCCTCACATCTCACTCCACTCCTGCTGCGGTTCAATGGAACGATAGGTACTCCTTTCCACTTCAATAAGGGGATGAAGCTCAATTAGCATTTCACAAGTCCCCTTTTCCTCCTCCATTGCAACCTTCCCCGCGGAGCCCATGCTTTCTCTGGGGATTGTCCTGTTTTGGGCCCTTGTTGCCGTTGGCAGGGTGACAGTATTCGAGTGTGCAAACTTGTGCTATTGTCCGCGGGCCAGAGGGAGCCATGGAGACCCCATAATATGACACAGGAAAATGTTTGCTGATGGCAATTCTATGGGCTTTGTCCGACTCTTTCTCCTTCATGACGACTCGATTTAAGTCTCTAAATGTTTGACTACAAATGCAGGAGTGCTATCCAGCTCCTTTCCCTTTGTCCCGCGAGGTTTGAATGAGTAATTCAGCCTTTGTGTCGTTCGATTGAGGGGGCAAACAGAAAGACAAGATTCTTGAGCGTTCAAGCCCCTTTCCATGGTTATGCACTCTTTAGATCCCCCCCCCACCCCTCACCAAATCCTACAGCTGACATCACTCTTGGGGAGGGTATGAGGGGTCCCTGTGTTACAAACTCAACGTCAACAGCTCCAGAATAAAGTTAGAATTCGTGCATGTTTCAGCAGAAATTGGGTTCATTTTTATTCATGCGCACTCCGGATTATAGGTTCGGATAGGAGATGTTTTGGCCAACGCGCAGAAATCACCGTGTAGGGAAAATATCGCATCCCCTCAGCGGCTTTTTCCAGATCTCCATGACAACAATTTGCAATGGTGAAGAATTCGATACCAGGGCGCTTGGAGGCTGATTGGGGTGCATTGTGAGGGGCCTGGGGTCGCTGATTGGTTCAAGGAAAGCACCATAACTACAAGGAGTTTATATTCATTCAACTTGTTGAAGTGCTCCCTTCTGCAGCCTGGAGAGAAGTCTGTGCTTGGAGTGTGGTTTTAAAGGAGTCTGGATTCACCCAGCAGTGGTGAGTAAAGGGTTATTACACATCATCGCGTTCATCTAGGCTTGATTTCAGAACTCCTAAAACAGAGCAATGCGTAATTACGCAAAATTTGTTTTCTGATTTCCCTTTAGATCCTGACGGTGGACTACAAGTTCTAACATGGACTGATTTGACCTGAATCTTTGCAACAATGGCAAACTCAGACAGTGAGGTCAAGACGTTGCTGAATTTTGTGAATTTGGCATCCAGCGACATTAAAGCGGCTTTGGACAAGTCCGCTCCGTGCAGACGCTCTGTGGATCACAGGAAATATCTGCAGAAACAACTTAAGCGTTTCTCTCAGAAGTACTCCAGGGTCCCGAGATGCCACGCGCACAGGTCTGCCGAGTACGGATGTGCCAAACCGGTGGGGACTGTCCACCCGAGTGTGAAGGTCGCAGAGAAGGTCAGACCGGATGCGCAAGGTGTGGGGAATGCGGGGAGCGCTGTGGAGCAGGTGCCTATGAGGAAACGCCAACTACCAGCCTCATTTTGGGAGGAACCCAAGTTGACGCAAACTAAGAAGGAGCACTCACTTCTAGGGTTAAAAAAGAACCCTGCAGGCACACCTGAGGGCAGCGAAAACGAAAACAGGAAAAGGAGTTATGATGATGATGCAAAGGCCACCCTGTCTGCGTCCAGTCGACGCAACTCTGCGGACAAAGACTCGCTGAAATTGGACCTGACCTCTCACCATTGTGTGAGTGTGTGCGGGTGCTGCCCCTACCAGTACCACGGACACCAGGTCCTCCACAGTCACATTGTTGTCCCCCATCCGCCCCTGGGACTGTGGAGCAAAGCAGCAGGGACTGAGATAGAGAGACCCGAGCATCCTTATGGACAGAAAATTCACACGCACGTTGTGGTCAAACCCATACCGACCAAACCCACCGTGCAGTCACCTATCTTCAGTGTGTTTGGATTCATTTAAATGCTCTACTAATGGACCCGTCACACAAAACATGTGTATATAGGACTAATTATTTGCATTTTTCATGTGTCCTCACAGCCAACTCTTCCTCTTTCAACATTTGTACGAGACCCTTCCTCAAGCACTTATTGGAATGCTTCGTCTATTTTTATCTTTTAAATCTAAAGGACTGAGTTGCACTTGCAGAATAACTTCATCATGTTCACTTTCATGCCAGTCTGATGCCTCCAAGTATCTGAAAACTGACAGTAAGTTAAAAGCTTTCTGCTTTTAGGTCTCTACAGAGAATGACTGTTGTTTTTTTAAGTACCAAAAGTCATGCAAGTGAATGAAAGCATCCTGTTTTAGTTTTCTCTTTCAACTATGAGAATAGAATGTGGGACATAGATTTGCCTTTTCTTTGTCAAAGTAATGTTTGATAGGCATGTTTGAAACAATGACTTTTATTTTTAAATAAATGATTCAACTTTCCTCAAGAACTCCTTTGGGCATTAGATAATTTCCACTTTCACTCTTTATGTGAAACTACAAATCCTTCAGACGGACCGATTAAAGAACCTTATTGTCACATTACATATGTTATAAATAGACATTTTATACATAGAGAATTCCTTTGAGGGGACCATTTACAGATTCGAGATATTAGATTAAACTAAAAAAAGAAACAAAACGATAAATTTAGCCACATCTCTGATGCCTATATTCCTTGACATTCATCTTAAAGTCAGTCAGCCAGGCTCAGGTATCTGATCAGTCTGTCTGGCAGAGGGAGTCTTGTGAGAGATTTTAGTCTGTGTCTCCCCATTTGGGTCCGAATCCTTAATCTGCAAAGGTGCAGCAGTGGACGCGGTGACACTGTGGACAAGAAAAAAAGAGGATGGTCACTTGCATATTTACAACAGTTATATGCATGTGGGAGGAAGTGAAAGTCAGAAGTGAAAGAGATGTTAGGATGTAAGTGAGTGATAAGATTTTGTCTGATGCTTACATGACTTCCTCTTAACAGCGAGCCATTCCTCCTGGCTGTCTAGTAGTTCAGTGAGTTTGCTGCACAGCTGAACATGACCAACATGCTCCAGCAGCAGGTCTATGACTGGTCCTGCCCATTTACACATAACTGATGTTGAGATCCACTCACAGAACTGAAGAAGAAAATCAGAGAAAAAAGCAAAATTACTTTACAATTTTCAGTTATTCAAAAATCTGTGACATTGTTTTTGCTTATTTTTCACACCTGAGTTGCCCTTCCTGAAGGCTCGCTGCAGTTTAAAGGAAGCATAATGTCATTCTGCAGAACATATCCATTGCTGCCACTTCTTATATGGGATCCTCCTGATGTCGGGTGAGGGGCACTGCCGTGTGTACATGTGAAACAGGAGAAGGCGTCGCAGCCATTGTCCAAAAGGCACTTGAGTAGAGCCAGATTATCCATGCAAAGTGCAACAACGGCAGGGAACGTAGTAGCATAAGAAGGGATTCTGGCGTTGGCATCGGCACCTCTCTCCAGCAGCAAAGACACAGTGCTGACGCAGCCCTGCCGTACAGCCATCAGCAGGGGACTGACTGGGTCCAGGTTTAGACTAGCGCCGGCGTTCAGCAACACCTCTGCTGTCTCTGTGCTGCCGTTGGCGATAGCAAAGTAGAGGGCTGTTGCGCGTCCATCAGCATACTGGATGGAGTGACTGTGGGCCAGTGTGGCGTTAACATCTGCACCTGTCTTGAGTAGGACAGCTGCCACAGTGTGTCTGTTGTGCTCTGCTGCCAGGTGGAGGGGGCTGATACAACTGTGGCGGAGCCTGGCTCGACTTGTCACTGAGACAAGCAGGGACACAATCCTGAACACAAAGTGAGGAAAGACAACAAATACAACTATTATCATTGCTCCATTTACAATAACCACACTATTGTATCTCAATGCTTACATCTTTACCAAATAGTAAGTTATAGTATGTCAACTTACTCATGGTGTCCATATTGGGCAGCAACATGCAGCGGCAGCAGTCCTGAGTTAGTGGGTTTGTTGGCGTCTGCATTTTTAGTTATCAGCACTGCTACGCTTTCCTTGTGGCCATTTTTACTAGCCTCATGCAGCGCTGTGACACCATCACACGTCTGCATGTTTACATCTGCACCTACAGAAAATCATTAGTCTTTTATAACCTTTACATGGTGATCAGAAACATGAAAAGGAGGAATACAGTATTTTGTGCAGAAAAGTACCTTTCCCAATGAGGTAACACAGCGCCCTCATCTGTCCTCGCTGAGCTGCTACAATGAGTGGTGTGATGCTGTAGGTATTCGGTGGATTGATTGTGGCCCCGGCTCTTATTAGTATCTCACAGATCTCTGTGTTGTTCCTGGATACAGCCTCGTGGAGGGCTGTCCAACCCTGACCACACCGCTGGTTCACAGTGGCACCGTAGGACAGAATGAGGCTCACCATGTCCACATTCTCCAACTCACAGGCTACAGAAACAGACGAGACAATGGGTCATTTCGTCCAAACACCTGGCTGATACACAGTTATCCATCATAGTTCTACTATATACAGTTGATTTCACAGCTGTACCTTTATACAAAGGGGTTTCTTTGTTCTTGCTGCTGATGTCAGGGTCAGCGCCTGCCTCCAGAAGGCACCGCACACATGATGAGTGTTCACAAGACACAGCAAGCAGCAAGGCCGTCTGCTCCTGCAAGGTACGTTTGTCTACTGACCCTGGATGGGCTGGAGCAGAAAATATACATATCACACAAACCAGCTGAGTGACAAATTTAGTCTTTTGAAAATGTGCAATCAGCAAAACACCACTTTGAATAGTTCTCCTTTTCCCATACTATCACACTGAGCCCACGTGATTATAAGTGAACACTGTTTAGGGACCCTCAATGACGCTTTCAATGTCATACCCCTCAGTAGGGTCTTCAAGCACTCTGTCTGTCCACAAAAGGCAGCTTCGTGCAAAGGTATCCACCCATCTTTGTTCTCCTTCAGCAGGCTGTGAGAGGCTGATGTTGCCAGATCATTAACAGCCTTCACATCCCCTCTCCTGATTGCAAAGACCACTGGGTCGACATCCCTTGAAAGGAGAAAAAAAAACAGTATAAGTGAATTATACTTAAATGTTATTGAGTGTAATTTTAGCCCTGTGCGAGGGCTGTAGTTTTGACGCAAACATGGACCTTAAATCTTATCTATCTATATTTAGGTGATTCTGTTGGGTTTTATTTTTTGGCTTTACTGAACCTAAATAAGACATTCTAACACATATGGGATTATAATCAACCAGGAGTAATCGTGCCTTATTGGTATTCTATAGTGACACAGAAAACCTCTTTCTCTCTCTCTCTCTCTCACTCTCTCTCTCTCACACTC